ACACACACACACACACACACACACACACACACACACACACACACACACACACACACCCACACACCCACACACACAAACCAACCTTCAGGACTGCATAGCTGTGATATTAGATTCAGTAGGGAATGCTATGACAATAGTGACTGATTATGACATCACTTGAACTATGAATTGTCACAATGTGCAAAAAACATTTTTTTAAATCCCTGCCTTTAGTTATTTCATTCATTTCTGGTTTATTATGTTCTATTTATAAATCTGGTTTACTCACACTGAATCATCTAAGACTCCTGGTGAAAAAAAATGTCTCAATGGGACTGAAAAGAGCGTTCAGACTTCAAAAAGCATTTGGTGTGTCTCTCATCTCTGCGTTTGATCAGACTCATGTAATTGCAGCAAGCGTGCATCTCTCTTGCTTTGTGAGACAAACCATGTCATAAGGGCTTTCTGTGTGCAAACATTCTCTTTCTATAATTTTTTCGGATCTCTCTCATTTTGTTTGTCCTTCCCCTTTGAAACCTACACAAACAGCCTTTTCTCAGTTGGTAGGCTACATATGAAATGCTAGCAAGCCATCGATGTTATACACTCTTAAAAATAAAGGTGCTTTAAAAGGTTTTTCAGCGATGCCATAGAAGAACCATTTTTGGTTCCACAAAGAATCATTCAGTCAAAGGTTCTTTAAAGAACCATCTCTTTCTTACCTTTTTATAATATGAAGAGCCTTCTTTCACCACAAAGAACCTTTTGTGAAACCGAAAGGTTCTTCAGATGTTAAAGGTTCTTTATGGAACCATTTAGACAAAATGGTTCTTCTATGGCATCGTGAAGCACCTTTATTTTTAAGAGTGTAGAATGCCTGTTATGCCAGGATTTCAGCAGTTTAGGGCAGGATTGTTATCCTTAGGCATTTTCAAATATTAAATAAACACATTATGAATTCATTTTGAACAAATCCTGAACTATAATAATGTTTTGTTGTTGCAGTATTGGCACATGATCCCCCCTTCTCTCTTGTCATAGGTCAATCCCAACAAATTTATGCTCTCTGTGGTTCATGCAGGTACACAGCTGGCTGATGTTTTGGTGTTTATTCTTGATCTGTAGCTTGGGAGCAGTGGGTTGTCGCAGTTTCTCTCCAGCAGGCACTGCTTGTTCATACATTTTATTTTGTAATCACACTCCCTTCAATTTGTACTGGTGAATCACGCTCATGTGGATCCATACCATCACTCTAGATTATGTTGTTGAATTGGGCTTTTTGATTATATATATGTTGTTTAAGAATATTTTTGAGAACTCGATTGCATGGTCATGTTATGTGATCTCAGCATGGCAACTCCCATGATGGTGCATCTCACTTTATAGCATAAAACTGCTTTTAGTTTTAGTGCAAAAAGCCTTCAGTATTTCTCACACAAAGCCTTCCGCTTTGTCGCGGAAGGCAAACACCTGACTTCTGTTCCTTTGTTTGCCTTAATGAGGACACCATAGTTTTGCTTTATCTCAGTGTAACAGGCAGCTCCATAAAACCCTCTCCCTTTAGAAAGCTTATTTCTGTGGGAAGGATTGCCTTTTTTGTGCCATAGATGTTCAGTTTCTCAGGATAATTTTGTACTGCTTGTAAGCGTGGACAAACTCCGTAAACATAATATAAACACAAACCATGTTTTGGTATGGAAACATGCAGGCATACCATATTTGCATAGGTTCTTGCATTATGTAAACCCGTTGTTTTCCCAACACGCTTCCCTGTTTGTAAGTACCACCATTAGGATTGCGAATATCTCCATAGTTACTGGTCCCAAGTTCCCTCTAGGCATGTGCAGTTCCACCAATCAGGATGGAGACAGGTGGTGTGTAATATTTATGCAGATCAGGTGCTTTGAACGCTGGGTAGGGAACTGAGTGTATAGTATAAACATACTGCACGTTTGCATCTCACGTGCGTACAGTAAAACCTTCAGCATTACTAAAGAGGCGTATAACGTCACAGGCCATAACATTATGATAAGGTTCTAGGTTATTTGCTGCCTTTTGGCATAAATATCAAAAGCATTCATTTGAAGATCTTAATGCATTGCCAGGGACAGATGTAGCAAAAAAATGTTTTCATGTGTACGTTCACCATCAGGTCAGAAATTGGGACCTAAACCAGAACCAGTACTTGACGCTGTAGTCATCTCCTCTTTGCATCTGTTGTAAATTTTTCAGTAGACTCTGTCACTGTGATAGCCCTCGCGTCACCCAGTCACCATGGGCACCAGGACTCCCACTAAATTCCCCTTGTGTGTCTTCAGACAGCGCTTGATCATGACAAACATGCCTGCTTTGATTTGCATGAGTGTCCTTCATGTGTACGTGCCTGCCTGCTTGTGTGTGTGTGTATGAGAGAGAGCGAGAGAGAGAAAGAAAGAGAGCAAGGGCCAGGTGTTTCCATCATGAAAGTCATATGCTAGGAGATCAAAAACCACACATTACTGTCTTGGTAATGCGATCATTCATTATTTTTATGTAGATGTTTTCTTTATTTTGTTTTTTTTCATGACTAGAGTTATTGTCCATTTAAATATTTTTTTTAGTGAATGAATTACACAATATGCTAATTAACTAAGTTCAATATTTACTGAGAAATGAAGATAACTCAAAGACATTATTGTGGTAGATCAGTAAATCTTCGAATAGAAAAGTGAGCCAAAAGTGAGCTAAATATCCTTGTTTATAAAAATGCTTAAAAAAAAAGTTAGCTTTATTTAAGGTGGATTGTATTTCCATTTTATAGGGATTCATAATGTATTGGTACCATACTGGTTATAGGGCCATAGTGGATTTTTAATGATGGTATTATTGGATTTTGAATATTTAATTATATATATTATAATTTACCTCTTTTTATTTAATTACATTTGCCATCATCTAAAGGCGGGCGTACACGGTGCGATTCTGAAGGTCGGATTTTTTTGACATTTTGAAAATTATCGGGAGGACGGGAGGTGCTCGTAACGTCTCGGATCGGCCCGTAATTCTTCTCACACGGTACGAACCGCGACCATGCGAGCATCTGCGATTTTCTCCCGAGAGAAAAAAATCACCTGCGAGCTCGTACGACAGCAAAAATCGCACCGTGTACGCCCGCCTTAACACTAATTTAAGTTAATCTTTAAAAACACTAATTGTTAAATGTAATCTCTAGCAAATCTCAATGAACAACCATTTTTTATGCTGTACATTAATAATTTTGTAATGCTTAATTTGCATTTGACAAAAAATTTAATTCAGCTGTTTAGTGTTTTTATAATTCAGCTGTTTAGTGTTTTTATACACTATACTTTTATACACTGCTTATAGTATTGAATTCTAAAGTATAATTTTATAGATTTTTACCCAGTATGCTTTATTTCAATTCATTTTTTAACCATAAAGTCAAAATGTAATGACTTTAAAGAGTCCATAATGAATTTTTCTGTTAAAAAAAAAAAAAAAATGCTGCTGTTAATTTAACTGACCTCATTTCAACCTCGCTTCAAATGAAAGTTCTGAGCTACTGATCTGACATATGGCAGTAGGACATATGGTGTGGAATGTGCTGGGCAAGTGCTAGTGGATGACTGCACAGAAAACAATTTCCAACACAAGTTATGACAGCCCTGTGATAGGGTGGGATTGACTGGCTAGCCATATTTCAGCATGAAAAGCGCCAAGGACACTCCCTTTGGCTTGCAGGGCATGAAACCCAACCCATTCTCAAAGGAGAGTCAATCACAAAGGGACTCCAAGCAAATAGTCCAGCCCTGACCAGTATCACATTACTTTCTAAAGTAATGACCTTGTAAAAAAAAGAAAGGAAACTACCTTTTCTCAGTCGTTAAACTTTGAAAACCGTTTGGATTTTTTTTATGTATGTGAACAGGTGCACTTATGAGGCCCTGTGAGTTTTGGTGTGACTCCAAAAACATGGAACTGGTTTTTCAATGGTGTGACGTGACATTTAAAGGGTGATGTCATTTCAGGCCTACTTTTGATGTGATATGATGTGACAAGCATTGGTGCTCAGATAAAAATCAGCTTCTCAGTTCTAAACGGGCCATAATGGAGATGTGTTGTGAGACTGTCTTTTTAAATGATATCTTTACCATAAATATTCTTGCTGAGGTTTGTAATTTCTCAGGAAGCAGCAAGTATTGAATTAACATAATTAACTAAATGAGCTTAATTGGATAAGTGTGGTTACTCTGAGGTAAACACAGATCCAGTGTGCTCATGGGTGACTTCATTCTCGTGCACCCAGATAAGACATCTGTGCCGCTCAGTCAGGAAAGTCATTTCCCTAATATCTGTAGAAAGGCCCTGTCCCAGATTTGTCCCAGTATCTCCACTGATCTCTTTGAAGAAGTAGAACAAGATCAAGAATCCAGTGTAGTTTCCTCTCCAGAGGTTTTCTCTGTCCACCCCTCTCACACTGATTAATGAGCATATGCGTAATTTGGGTCACATTTTTCTGATAACAGAACACTTACCCTGGCCATTTCCTGTGAGCGCAATTCATCTAGACCTCCTCAGATGTTTTTGAGTCCAGGCATTGCTGTGAGATCTGGCAACGAATGCTGCCTTTGTTGCAGTACATTAAGTGATCTTAAAATGTTTTATCTGAAGCTCCTTTTACTCACAGCATTCAGACAATATCGTTGAATGTTTTTTGTGTCTAGTCAACTGGATCGCTCAGTAAAAGTCCATAATGCTGCTGAATTGCCAGGTTCATATGCTTAACAGTTGATGCACTTGTCCACCAGTCATGGATACACACTGGTACATTGTTTGTGCAGTTATGCACAGCTGCAGTATGTGTCTGAAACCCAAGATGGCTGCCTGGCTTCCCAATCAATGATTCAACTGACAGTGGTTTTGTATGAAGGCTTCATGTAAGGAAACTTTCAAGGCATCATAACTTCATGATAATGAGCTACAGCAAAATTAAGTGAGCTTTAGACAACCTGGCTAGGGTTGCAAAGGAGCAGAAGATTTCTGGTAAACTTCTGGAAACTTTCCGAAAGTTTCCAAAAAGTCCTGGAACGTTTTTTTTGGAAAAATGTTGGAAAGTTTCCAGAAATTTAGTGGAGATTTTCCACCCCTTTGCAACCCTGAACCAGGCAAATTTGAATGACTACACACCTCTTGGGTAGAAATTCAATTTTAGTTTTTGTATGACAATATGAAGATTTTTTTAAAATCTTTATTTTTTTATAACTTTTTATTTATTGAATGATTAAAAAATAGCCTTCTGTGTTGACACGGTCTGGGTAACTTTATATAATTGAGTGGCTATATAAAAAGTGGCTATATATAATTAAGTAAATTAAGTCAATTTGTTATTCTCACCAGATTTTCATTTATTTGATCAAATATACAATAAAAACAGTATATTATTACAATTTAAAATAACTGTTGAAATATCTTTTGAGATATATTTTACATTTGTAATTTATTCTTGTGATAGCAAAGCTGAATTTTAAGCAGCTGTTACTCCAGTCTTCAGTGTCACATGATTCTTCAGAAATCATTCTGATATGCTGATTTATATGGTGGACTGATATGGTGCTCAAGCATCAATTAATGGTGTGGAAAGCAGTATACATTTTTGTGATTTAAAATAAATGCTATCGTTTTGAACTTTCTATTCATCAAAGCAACCGACCGACAAATATTTTTTTAAGGATTCTTTGATGAATAGAAAGTTCAAAACGACAGCAATTTTTTAAAAATAATTATTTTCTGATATCATAAATGTATACATTTTATATTTATAAATGTGGTTTAAAAAAAAGATATATTTAAATTTGCAGGGCTGGTCTTGACAAAGGTCTCCTTCAAGGAAAAATGTATTCGCAGCAGTTTAACCACAATTCCTCTAGCTGCAGTGGCTCATGGGTTCAGTATTTTCATGCTCTGTGTGTCTGTCCCTTTATTGAATGAGGTTTTAGAGTAGCTTTATTTCAGATTTGTTGCAGTTTCACTTGGAGGTTTTCACAGACAGAAGTTTTCTCTATCCCCTTCTCCCCCTCTCTGCGTTTCTGAATTCCCACCTCCTCTTCTCGAGTCTTCCTCCTTCTCATTCCCGCTCTTCTGCAGTACCATTCTAAACCTCTTTGTCACTGCTCTGATCCATCTAGTCATTTCCTGGCCCTGATCGTCTCACTCACACTGCTCTCATTAACAGCTAAGCTGTTCTTCCCATTTTTTTTTTTCTTTTTTTTCAGAACCTGCGTTGACTAGATCTCAATCTGCATGTCTCAGAAGAGCTCCTGAGCCCTCTGAAGATGCGAATGTTTTCTGCCATACGAAATACCGTGTCTCCAGCAGCAACTTTCAGCAGTGGTCTGGATGAGGTAGGTAGGAATTCAAAATCCATTCTGATGGTCTTTCCTCTGGATTTCTGTGTTTTAATGAGAGTGAACGGCCCCCACGTGTAACCAAAAACATATGTATCTCTATTTCTGTCACATTTGTGTTTCAAACTGAGCTTACTGCTATGATTCGCTCTAAATTCAGGCGCGGTCAGTAGTTTCTGCCTACTGATTGGCTGTTCAGTATTGTGTAAAGATTCACATGGCAAATTCAGTTGTGGTGTGTGTGTGTGTGTGTGTGTGTATACCTGGTATTTATCACGTTACGGGGACCAATGTCCCCACAAGGATTTTAATACCAGTAAATTTTGACCTTGTGGGGAAATTTTTGAGGGCCCATGAGGAAACAAACGTATAAATCATACAGAATGAAGTTTTTTGAAAATCTAAAAATGCAGAAAGTTTCCTGTGAGGGGTAGGTTTAGGTGTAGGGTGATAGAAAATACAGTTTGTACAGTATAAAAACCATTACGCCTATGGAATGTCCCCATAAAACATGGAAACACAACGTATGGTGTGTGTGTGTGTGTGTGTGTGATGCACTCATTTAGGGTCCTGGTTGTAGAGATTTATACATGCTAAAGCTGAGATAGAGAACACCTCTTAAAACCTTTTGACCATTATTATTATTATTATTAAGACAAAGAATAATGAAAATAACATTTGCATTTTATGTTATGTTTTTATTGTAGTGTTAGTATTTTATTTATAGTATAGTAGTTTATTAGTATTTTATTTATAGTATTTATTTATTGTAGTAAAACTGTATCTGCATAAAAATAATGGTTTTGATCGATATAAAACAATATTGGTCAACATCAAATCAAATGTTCATCTAAAGGCTTCAGTGAATGACAGAAAAAAGCCTACTTGAGGAACCTTTGAATACTGTTTAAACGGCATCCCAACATGCATCTCATGACATTTGAGGGAATGCCTAGTGTGCAAAAATATATCCAAAATAATTTTTTTTGGTTATTGCATAATTTTATGATTTTTACAATGCATTCTGCGAAGTGTGACTTTTTTTAAACGCGCAGATAAAGGAAGCCTTCAGACCACATGGATTGTGGAGAATGCCATTGTTGTTGCCTTTGCTCATCCTTTAGACTTAACACACACACCACAGAAACTATAGCTTATACTCCCCACACACATTTTTGAGAGGAGACAGAGAGTATCTTTGTATCCATCTATAATCACTGGTGCTTGCACACACATTTGGTTTAAGCCAATAGCTGTTATCTAAATGCTTAAGGCTGTGGGTCTCTTTATTGATTTGATAAAAATAGCTCTGCATATACAGTAGAGAGCAAGCTATGCAGTACTGCTACATTTCTTTATTTTAGGAAGCATTACATAAGACGCAACATGTACTGTATGATATTGCATAACACACAAAGCTCACATCCACATGCTGTTAATTAGCATCTTTAAGTGATGGCAGCTGAGTTCATTCTTTCGCGTTATGTTTAGGCAGCCACATTATCGCAGCAAATCCTGCTTGAAAGGCTTTGATTTTCTAAAGATGACACAGTGCTGTTGCCAAGACAGCCTCTGAAATAGTGATGCACATTTAAAACAGACCGCAACTTAACTGTTCTCTTATTGTTAGTGCTTGGTTTGTGCTGTGCCAGTATTTCTTCTCACAGGATATTTATTTATATATACTTTTATTTACATGTACTATATACTTGTCAGTTCAGATTTATTTAGACTGTACACTTAATTTTTTTAATACTTTTTTTTTTTTTTAAATCAGCCTTTTCTGTGTTTATATGCAGGTTGTCAGTGTCTAATGCTACCGTGCAGTTTTCCATGTTTGTTTGAATTCGGCATCCACTCCACCACTCATGATGGTTTAGTCCTGCTGTGAGAGCACAACAATGACATCCATGGTTGCCAATGGGACTCAAGGTGGCCAGTCACTGGTCCTGAAAGGAGTGGACCCTGAAACATGCATGATCGTGTTCAAAAACCACTGGGCACAGGTATGTAATATTTTTTCTATTATCGTCTTTCCTCATGTGCTGTTTTTAAATGCCATTTCTCTACTGTTTAAAGTATGCATGATACTACTGTTGGCAAAATAGAAAAACTTGCTCAATGCTCATTGTGGGGAATTAACATAAACCGTTACTACCTGCTTTACAACCTGCTTGATACTTGTTATTTGTTGTGGATATATACTGTTTTTCCTCATCCGCAAATTAATTAGTTTTTCAGTGAAAAGATTAACTTTCAAAAAGTGTTGTTTCACCTCAGGTGTACAAACCAAATCTTATGAGTAGTGTTATTTTCTGTTTATTATGTATGAAGTTTATTTTATATAAGGCTTTATGATGAAACAAACTAATAATTTACAAATAAAAGATATTTACATATTATATATAATGAAATATTATGTTTCTGATCATTAAAATAATAAGTACATTTTGTAAGCTTTTAAAATCCTGAACTGGCCCTAGAACAGACTATCCCATTGGTGTTACATTGTGAATAAGGCTCTGGACCTCTTCTGTTGATTCAGCAGAATGCTCCAGAACATAGAGGCATTGTTTGGGTACAGAAGATGAGTTCAGGCCATTAGATAAACTCTAAAGACAGAAATTAGGGTAGTTTTCTGAAAGCAAACTAGTATTATTGTTAACTTATCCAACGAAGTACTAAAATATTCTACAAATCTGAGATGCCGTTAACACTTTCACTCTTTCAACCCTTCCTGCTTAGTTTGCATTGATGAATGGTACACTTTGTTAAGAGCAATATGCCATTTGGCCTTGCTTGCACTTCCTCTTCCTGGAGCCTTCAGGTTATTCCTTTTGCTCTGGTAATAACCAAATCTCAGTTTGATACACCCTTGACTGGGAGTTTTGTCATGATGGAATAGATCAGCACCAGGACAGAGGGCTCATTGTTGCAGTTGTTTCAGCTACTAATTTGCATGAAATAGATTATATGTAATCCTGGAGCACAAAACCAGTCATAAGTAGCGCAGGTATATTTGTAGCAATAGCCAACAATACATTGTATGGGTCAAAATTATCCATTTTTCTTTAATGCCAAAAATCATTAGGATATTAAGTAAAGATCATGTTCCATGAAGATATTTTGTACATTTCCTACCATAAATATATCAAAACGTAATTTTTGATTAGTAATATGCATTGCTAAGAACTTAATTGGGAAAACTTTAAAGGTGATTTTCTCAATATTTAGATTTTTTTGCACCCTCAGATTCCAGATTTTCAAATAGTTGTATCTCGGCCAAATATTGTCCTATCCTAACAAACCATACACCAATTGAAAGCTTATTTATTCAGCTTTCATGTGATGTATAAATCTCAATTTCAAAAAATTGACCCTTATGACTGGTTTTGTGGTCCAGGGTCACATATGTGTTCCTGCTACATCACAATATCCCAGTGTAAATATTTATTAATTTTTTATAATAAAATTTTTATTGTAATTATTATTTTTTACATTTGTTTTTACTTTTTATTTTTTTTATATTTGTATTATTTAAATTTTTTGAAAGTCATTTATAAAGTCATTTTTAGTGACTTCATACTGTAAAGAGAAAACTTTTTGCTATAGTGGGATAAAATCCCTTTGGCTATACTCTCCAGTGTGAATGACCTCTGATCTCTTGACATTTTCTCAGGTGGTGAAGATTCTAGAGAAGCATGACCCATTGCGCAGTAATGTTGGTGGTCTGGGTGGAGGTCATGGTCTTGGTGGGGGTGGAGGACTCGGCAGCTTCCGTTTCGGTCCAGTTCCTGGCGATGAGGCCAGCGCTGTGCAGAACTATGTAGAACACATGCTCTTCCTCCTCATGGAGGAGGAGTGTGGTCAAAATGGAGCCATGGGGCCCATCCTGGAGTTTGTGGTGATGGAGAACGTGTTGGAGAGACTGTTTATCTGGAGCCTGAGGCGAGAGTTCACAGATGAAATGAAATTAGAGCAACTGAAGATGTATGAGATGCTGATTGGACAAGCCAGGCAGCCATTACTTCATCATAAACCAGTGCTCAAGCCTTTGATGATGCTCTTGTCGTCCTGCTCCGGCTCCCCATCGGGTCCAAGCTCCTCTGCTGTGGAGACAGAGCTTGTGCTGCTCCTGAACCAGCTGTGCTGTGTTCTGGCTAAAGACCCTTCAGTCCTGGAGCTTTTTTTCCATACGAGTGAGGACCAAGGAGCTGCTAATTTCCTTATCTTCTCCCTACTCATCCCTTTCATACACAGGGAAGGGTCAGTCGGACAGCAGGCCAGAGATGCGCTTCTGCTTATCATGGCTCTTTCTGCTGAGAACCATGTTGTGGCTAAACACATCGCAGAGAACACCTATTTCTGTCCGGTATGAGTCTATTATAGTATATCTTCCTCTTTTATTTATACTCTTTCTCTATTTATCTTTCTCTTTTTTTCAACCTACATGGATTCTGTACTTGGATTACCAAAGTTCCTGCAGCATTGGGCTTACTTTATTGCTGTGCATTGCTTAAATTACTATCTAATTAAATAGTCTTTATAGATCATGGTGCTTTCTGAAGTGTTGAGAGCATAAAACGGAATTTCTATTTGACTTACATTCCCATTTCACCCGTTTAAAATACTGTATTGAATCCCAGTGTAATTTAATATGGTACTATATATGGTTCATATTGGATATTTAATTGTGCATGCCTATTAGCCCTATTTTTACATTTAGGTTACTTTGCCATCATATTGCGTTTACATGAAGTTAATCTTTGAAAAAATCAAAACATTTAATAACACTGTTAAATGTAAACTTTAGTAAATCCCAAAATGAATATGGATGTCGTGAACATATAAAACGGTTGGTTTTATTTTTTGTAGTGTTTTATTTTTAACTTTTTAGACAAACTATTATAGATTTTTATAACTGGCCATTTTTTTTGCTCTTCACCCATTAAAAAAAAACAAAAAACTTATTGGCCAACTTGTGTTAAATGGGACAGAACAAACTAAAAACAAACAAAACAGGAATTGAATGTACAACTGATGTACATCATCATCATTATATGAACTAGCAAACCCTGAAGAAATATGACATTTATAGCCTCCAGTTATAATGATCACGAATAACACTTTTGAGTAATCTTATCTGGCTGTTTATGAAATTGCAATGAAATCCACAGTCAGTGAAGCCAACAGGACAGTTAAACTGGTTAAATCTTTAGTGAATGCATGGATTGTTTCTGAATATTATCAAATTTTCCTTTCAAATACGTGCCACCGTGGGCATCCAGCAGCACAGTATGTGCTTATGTAAAGTCATTAGAGATAATTGCATAATCTGTTACACCATGGATGAGTACCCTTCTTACTGAGATGACATCACCCTCAGCTTCAATAGAGTCTGATTCTCAGCCTTACATGCACTCTCAGCCTTTTCTGACCTAACATTCATCTGCCAGTGAATAAAGCCAGGGAGCATGCAACTAAAGATTGTTGTGCTATTACATAATGATTGTCTTTATTGAAGTGTTCACAAGTGTATTTTGAATTAATTGGTTAATTTTATTTATTTATTTATTTATTTTTTGATGAAGGTTTTGGCTACAGGTCTGAGTGGGCTTTACTCATCTTTGCCTACCAAGTTAGATGTACCCAGTGAAGAGTGGCACTGTCTGCACCGTGAGGACTGGCAGCAGCTGCCTGCTCTTGTGCAATTTCTTAACTCCTTGGAGTTCTGCAATGCTGTCATACAGGTGTGTGCTAGTGCTACTTCATTTCTACTGCACTTGTGTTTTATCTATAGCACGAGGTGTCCAGTCCAGCTCCTAGAGGGCCACTTTCTTAAAGAGTTTAGCTCCTGTACACCTGCCAGGATGTTTCTGGTGATCCTGAAGACCTTAATTGGGTTGTTCAGGTGTGTTTAATTTGGACTATAGCTAAATTCTGCTGGACAGTGTCCCTCCAGAAACAGGATTGGACACCCCTGGTTTATGGCAAGCAATGTATCATTTTACAATCACATGCAAACTTCCTCTGCTTGTTTTGCAAACGTTCTTCTGGAAGTCTTATGTCAGGAGACAAAGGTTGAGCTATAAATAAACATTATTGTAGTATCCTTATCTTTATATGCCCAGTAGATGAAAGGAAGTAAAAATACATTTAGGCAGTGTGAAATCATTTAATTTTAGCTTTGCTTTGTGTGTAGGTGGCCCATCCTTCCATCAGAGACCAGCTGGTTGGCTACATTCATAATGGTTTTCTGGTCCCTGTTCTAGCACCAGCATTACACAAGGTTAGTGGGCCATAAGCCGTTTTCTTCCTAGATCTGAAAGCTGATATCAGTAAGATTTGATTTTAAGCAACTTTTTTTTTTTTTGTAGTTGACACTTGAAGAGGTGATGACCACAACAGCATATCTGGACCTCTTCATACGCAGCGTTTCTGAACCTGCATTGCTGCACACCTTCCTAAGCTTCATCCTGCTCCATCGCCATGACAATGTACACATTTTGGACACACTAGTCAGCCGCATCAACACTCCCTTTCAGGTAACCACAATTTCATCCTGACTGGCAGCCAATTACATAAAAAAAGCAGCCAATTAAATCTCAAAAAGCAGTACTTACTTGAGAACAGGCCAGTGCTGAACTAGTGCTGGTTGATACAAAATAAAATTAGGGAATACTGTTAATGTTGTGATAATGTTAAAAGTTTAGGTTAATTTTCAAAAGACAATGAGCCAGTTTCACTTTCCTTTTTCTCCTCATAATTATGGCCACATCAAAGGGATGGTTCAACTGCTTTTAAACTCTCCTGTGCATATTTATGTGTGTGCACTGTGAAGAGCATCACGGGTTTCAATTTACACCGTGTTTTTATTTCGAGTTTTTGGTTTGCACAACCTTATAGAATCATGGAGTTCTGCACACTTGAAAATCCTTTCACTATATCCAGCAAAGTGTAAACATGATGATAATAATAAGAGGTTTATTGTGCAGTGAAGTCAGCTTCATTGATTGTAATGGGAGTATTTGTACTTCCTGTATATAACATATTCACAATATGAATAAAAGTTTCATTTTTCATGAAAATAACTAAACACTGCAAAGTTTCTGGATTGACAACCATTTTTAAATGTGGGGTTGAATCCCAAACTGCCATGATTGATAGTAACCATAACAACGGATTGGCCAAAAAAATCTCATACTGTATGAGAAAATACTGTAAAATATATCTGTATTGAATTTGTACAAATTTTTTTTATGTACTTTGTAACAATAGCTGTTCTATATAGATCATGTCTTTTTCAGGGGAAACAACAAAATCACAATTTTAAATTATTCCAGAGAAAATGCAAAAATATTGAAATACATATTGAATATCATCAAAATTAACACAAATATTGAAATTAATTTTATTTAGCTATACCATCAGGCCCTATACGGAACTACTGTTGATAACAATGCTGTACTACTAAACTTCACTAAAGGGTGAAGACGCACTGCACAAATTAAGAAGTGGTTGGTAGATTAGATGTAAGAATGAAGGTAGATTGCAGGCTCTTTCTATTAAATTAGACTAATATTTGAACTCAAATATTAGTTTGCATGTGTATTCAAACCGAACACCCTACAGCACTGAGTCTTAAGAATCCTCTTAGACACAATAGTCAGCTTTATTTTAATCAATATTAACATAAAACTATTTAAACCAGTTAATGCCAGTTTTATTGTTTAAAACATGCAGTGTCTTTATTAAGTTGTTGTGTTTTGTTGTAGTGTGTTTTTATAGGCTGTGCTTTTGTTCCAGCTTGGCACTGTATCGCTGGCCCTGTTCCGCACTCTCATTGGCTTGTATTGTGAGGATGTCATGCTCCAGTTGGTATTCAAGTGAGTATATTTGTGCAGACTATTCAGTTTATTTACTTATTTGTTGTATTTCTGATGAGATATGCATCATACGCATGTTAAATATTGACTCATAGTGTTGGTGCTTAGCTATCTTTCTTGTGGCACTATATGTGTGGTCTCTCCTTCTCCGCCAGGTACCTAATCCCCTGTAACCACATGATGTTGAGTCAGCGTAGAGTCCTGAGAGAAAGAGACTTTTACTCTGTATCGGCCGCCAAGTTTCTAGCCCTTACACCCTCCTGCTGTTCTCCAGAGGTCATCCCCCCTCCACTCAGGCAACTGGACTCTATCCTGTGGTCAAAAGGCACTGATGGCTCCCATATAGGAACTATGGGTATAATGTAGTTCCTTTACTTCCTGTGGAAGAGTGTACTATTTTATGTAGTTTTGATTTGCATTGTGCATGAAGTGTCATTGTAATAACAAAATGTATAAATTTTTGACCTACACTGAAAACTAAAATCTTGTAAGGACATAGATCAGGGGTGTCCAGTTTTATTCCTGGAGGGCCACTGTCCTGCAGAGTTTAGTTGCAACCCCAATTAAACGGATCTAGACTGGCTAATCAAGGTCTTCAGGATGTTTAGAAACTTCCAGGCAAGTGTGTTGGGCCAAGTTGGCACTAAACTCTCCAGGTCATTGGCTCTCCAGAATTGCAAACCCTTGACTGGATGCAGAAGGGAAAAAAGTGTTGTTGTTTTTTCAAAGATTTCTAGGTTTTAATATTAAAAGTGAGGCAAAATTACTTTATCTTTTTTGTTGGTCTCCACAAAATCATGCACTGAAGGTTTAATGACTAAGATCAAACTTTAGATTAGTGGACTCGAGTCTGCAGACTGAAATGTTATTCATGTCTCAGTGACTTCCGTCTTCTGGATTAAATCTGCAACTTCACTAGTGCCGGCATCAACTTAATTTCTTCATTCCAGACTATATAATCCACTTATGTCTGTGCCTGTTATTAAAGTATTTACAAGCTGATACAAATTCCAGAGCAATACTTTTTTTGAAAAAGGGGACATGAAATATAATGAGAAGTGCATTAGTAACTGATTTAATATTGCTTGTACATTTTCCTCTAGAATCAAACGAGGTCCTCTCAGAGGAGGATGACTGTGGTAACTCCTGTGTCATTGGCTCAGAGATCTACCTGGATGTCAGTTACCTGCACTACTTGTACGATGCACAAAACAGCATCAGTTACTGTATGCGAGCATGCCGTGTGTGGTCGGCCCCTTATGATGGTGAGAACCCTCCTCCAGAAGAATACCAGCGCAGTACCTTGGAAGAAGCAGGTAGGACTCGGCAACCAGTTACCAGCAGGAAAACCCCAAATCAAATGCATCGCTCCGGTCCACCCCTCAAAGATCTCACTGCTACTCCCGGATTGCTGGAGCTGGAGTGGGATGATAGTTATGATGCTTGTCCTACACAACTGCAACCAGAGGAAGATCAGGAGACTCTCCCCATCCCGGACGAGCCCCCAAAACACATTCAAGAACTGCGGAGAACTGCTATTATGATTGTGAAGGGCTCTTACATTGAAGAGTCTGAGTTCCAGAATGATGTTATGGTCTATGACCTGGTAGCTCAGAAGGATGCTCATGACTCTGGTAATAGCTATCATGCCTCATCCAAACCTATAGAAGCAGCAAAGCAGGAGGTGTTAGATGAACCAGTAACTGATCAAAAGACTACAAATTCAGAATCCTCAATGAGCAATGGCTTGAGCTCCCCATTAGATGAAATGGACAGTAAAAAGAGAGGGTCCCAATCAGACCATAAGTCACTGGAAGGGGAGGACCTTATGGCCCAGTATGAGGAACTCATAAGGACTCTGGGTGCACAGCACAGTCCAGCAAAAACAGACAGTGAACTCAAGAGTCCTACAGACCTCATGGATGAGGAGGAAGATGAGATTGACTTTAACTCTTTCTCCCCAGAGACACCAGAGGCAGAAAAGTTATCATCTCCTTTTGGGACCAAACCCCGCAGTGGGAGCAGGGGGCATGCTGTACCTTTTACAGGTCAGAAAACATTTTATTTTGCTAAATTATTTAAATTATTTCACAGTATTCTTCATACACTCATTTATATATTGTGCATTTATATATTATATTTAAAGTGACAGTCATTTGGAGTGATGATCGAAAGTATAGGGTATATTATGCACTGATTCAATGCCATAATGCACCTCAATAACGAGTGTGCATTAGTGTATACTGCCTGCTCATTAAAAAAGTGTATAAAACATTAAGTTGTATGATATAATAAAAATTGCAGCAGTAATATGACGTTTAACTCAACAAGTGGCATCTAGAAACCATAAACGATCATTGTACATGTGCATGGCAAATTGTGCACTGAATTGAATTATGTGACACTGTATTTCATGAAGTTTGACCTCAGTTTTGGCCCCCATGAAATACTATGCAAAGTTTTGGAATCGTTTAGTGTTAGTTTCAGTTTAATGTTCAGTATGATATTTGGGTGTGTGTTGTTCTGGCTCATTTGTTTTGTATAGTTATTATTTACACTTTAACTAATATTTAGGTTTCACTCTTGTCTTTCTCAGGGCCGTTTCTGAGTGTACTGCTGTCTCGCCTAGAAAACATGCCAAGTAATTCTCTCCATGTGAACTTGCTTCTGACTGGCATCCTGGCCCAGTTAGCTGCTTACCCTCAGCCCCTGCTGCGCTCCTTCCTTCTCAACACAAACATGGTGTTCCAGCCTAGTGTCCGCTCACTATACCAGGTACTGAAGTGCATGCAGTATCTGATCTACTGAATGAATGTAGTTTTAAATCATACTAACTCAATATTCATTGTCACTGCATGCTTAATGTGAGTTTAAAAACGAAGAAAATTAGACCACAAAATGCCAAAACTGTGATATCACACTGGCCTCCATTAAACATCAGGTTCAGTACTATTTCTTTAGCCTACATTTCTTAAACTCTGATTAACATGGCTGATATTTTGAGCACTTTATGTATGCAGGTCATTTGAGAAATGTCAACTGTTTAGACGAATGTTTAATGTGGGGCACATTTAAGAGCTCATGTGAACTTTGCCAAGGATTTGGGGGATAAAAAATGGATTTGGGTCACATTCGGCTGTGGTATGAATGTAGCCTTTGTGTCTATAACTCTAATATTATACAGACACACAAACCTGCTAAAATAACATCAGTGGCACATCACACAGCGGCACAGCAAGGTTTTGTACTCAATACTTCCCCTTTGTCAGCGTAAAAGCAACATGATCATCTTGCTGTCTGATACGTTATTCAGTAAAGTTTAATTTGTGAACAGGTAAATTAGCTGAATTATACTTCTTGTTTCATATCATTACATGGGGCAATTGTGAAAACCCATGCTTTCTCCACATTCATCAGTATGTCTTTGAGAGGCATGTGTTAGATCTGTTGGTTAATTGTGTATCAATACACACAAAGATGTGCTTTCACACAAAGCCTTGACCTTGTCAAACCAACCTGTATGTTTGTCACAACGTTGGTTTTCGCATGTGATTTGTCTATTCAGACCAATGTGGGAAAAAATAATAGACAAAATGAATGAAAATGCAAGTTCAGTCTCTGACAGTAGGTGGTGCTTATGGAAAAGCAGACATACAAGCAGCGGTGTGCTTTTTTTTTTTTTTTTCCATTTCTGACACCTGCTTGTCATGATAGGAAGTCAAAAAGTAAATGATGGCATAATTTACAACCAGATTATGTGCTGTAGTGATCTGAAAATGGAGCTGTGGTATCAATGTTCTGCCCATACTTCCACAGACTCAATCACAGGCACACAATCATGATGCCACATCACATTTTTATAACATCAAATAACTAACTGAAACCAAACTTAATAGAAAACCCTTGAACATACCCAAGCATGATACGAAATATTAAAATGACAGAAACATCTTTGGGCAAAATTTATTTGAAGTGTACTTTTTTAGTTTGGCTCACGTCCTTTGTGTTTCCACGGAGAGGGTGGGGTTTATGAACAGGGGTGATAAAAACTTTTCAGGATGTGTGTGGCACACTTGAATGTAATGGTAGCAGCTCTGAGCTTGTGACCAAAAGGACAAATCTTATTGGCTAGCCAGGTTTTTTGCAGTGCTATGGAAAAAACAAAAGAAAAGTCTTGTGAATGTTCTTATTGGTCTGAATAGACATTTTAACAGAGCCTATTTATTAAAAATAAAATGTTTATTGTGCCAAATATTTGTTGTGAACATTTGTCTTGGTGTGAACAGACCTTTACACCTGTTTTTGACATTGGGATTGGATTTCAAGGGGAGGGTCTCTGACTGTTGTTAATAAAGCACAAAAAATTCTAAAGAAGTGCATCTTTTTTCTTAAATTTACTATACAAATATAATGTTTCAAGTAGAAGTCGCAGTTATTTCAAAGAAGTACCTTACTGGAGTCACAGTATGTTGATTACAGACATACTGAAGATATTCCATGTAGTGGTTTGGGTAATCCAATCACAATTTCTTTTGGACCCTGTTTACACCTGTATATAGTACTGTCAACTTGTAATGTATCACCTGAAATTGATCTTAATACCTGGTGTGGATATGGGAGAATATGGAATCTGTTCATTCATTAATTTCACTCTCCCTTCTTGCCTTTCTTGATTTTAAAGGTACTGGCCTCAGTGAAGAACCAGACAGAACAGTGGTCAGCGAATAATAAAGACTTCCCTGAGCTTCTCACAGCTGCCCAGCACTGCTTATTGGCCAGGGAGAGTTCACTAAGAGGTCGGAGTAGATTCATATCCTTTCAGTCATGTTGTTTTATGATTTAATAAACACAAAACTGTTTTACTACACAAAATAAAAATGATCAATATGTGGGTATTTCATAAACATGACCTGCAGTGATTCTGTGCTCCTGCAGTTTGTCAGCAAATTGTTTTCTGAAGTAATATATAATATAATATAATATAATATAATATAATACTCAAAAGTTCATCAGTAGGATTTTTAAAAATTACTTTGAATACTTCTAATAATATTTGGCAAGGAAGCATTTAAATACAAAAAAAATCCTGTAAAAAAAAGTAAAAAAAAATAAGCAGTACAACAGTTTTCATAACTGTTTGTTGATAATAGGAAATGTTTCTAGAGCACAAAATAAGCATATTAGAATTATTTCTGAAGGATCATGTGACACTGAAGACGAGTAATGATGCTGAAAATTCAGCTTTGCCATCACAGGAATAAATTACTGTTTAAAATATCTGTTCAAAAAATATATATTTTTGATCCAAAAATGCAACCTTGGCAAGCATAGGATACTTCTTTCAAAATCATTTAACAATCTTACCAATCTCAAACTGTATAATATAATAATATAATATAGTACAGTACATAATAGAACTGTTGGAAGAAACTGTTTATATTTTGAGTTAAACCGAGTGTGTAAATCAATATCAAATCAATTAAATTCAGTCAAATAACTTTGAAGTCATTTTTCAGTTTGAGGGTTGCATAGCTACTGTTTTTCCCTTAGCAGTATAAACTGTTTCATCATCTTTTTTTTTTTTGACTTGTTCAGTTTGAATAAACTACATTGTAATAATTTCTAAGACAATGTTTATATATTGTACAATGACTTGTTTTTTCCATTTCTACCTAGACTCTCAAAGTCCACAGAATGGAGATTGGTTCCATAGTTCTGAAGCAGACAGAATCAAGACGAAACCGAATATCCAACCCAAAACTGTGGTTCCCTTAAACCAAACTGAGATATATGCCACAGTTCTTTTCACCGAGTTCCTGAAAGAGCTAGCAGCCTTTGCACAAGAGCACTCCATCCTTGCTCATCTTCCCACGGAGCAGTAGCCTTTGATTCTGTTTTTATGTCTGTTGTTAATGTTTCCAGGAAACTTTTGAACTGACATTTTGAATGATTTTTAGTTCTTATTGAAAGACTCTAAAATAATGTTTTTCTGACTTTTCTCTTTTTTGGATATTTTTGATGGGGGGTTCTTTCATGCATGTTTTTGTCTGTTGTGTGAACAATCATTGAAACTTCCATCATTTGATTATGCATACCAAACCTGCCATAAAACAGTCATTGATTTGTCTTCATTTCATAAAGTTGGCTTCGGGACACAAAATGCTGGATGTCTTAACTGAAATTTCAGGCCTAAACTAAATGGTGATGGCCATACAGCCATTGAGCAAGAGGTGAGGAGGCATTACATATTAATAACATTTGAGGACCAGATTCTCTACAGACTGTATAGTGCTGCTGATGTCTTTTTGCTGGAATGTTCCCATGATGGCCTTATACTGATTGATAGTGCCTATTCCTTTAGTCCTTAATTTTCAACATTGTCTTTACAGTTTTATATACAGTAAGCATACTTTGTAAACCTGGTCACTTGGCCATTTTATACAACTTGTCTGTAGGATTGCTGGATTTCCTCTCACTTTGAGAAACAATTCTTACACAGTCGTTCTGGTTCTATGTAGAGCATCACTGATATTAACTTTCACAATGTCTATACAGCACATGAGTTGTTAATGAACATGTTTGAAACTAGCAGCACACATGCTTGTTAATTAGGATGAGGTGCCTTTCTTTAATGGGGTAAGATATACACTACTGTTCAAACGTTTAAGGTTAGTACGTTTTTGTTTTATATATTTATAAAGAAAGAAATACTTTTATCCAGGAAGGACACTATAAATTGATCAAAAGTGACAGTTTTTGTAAAAATGTAAAAGTTTTTACCCTATCAAATAAATAGTTCTTTTGAACTTATTCATGAAAAATGCATCAGTTTCCACAAACATTTTAATCAGCACAACTGCTTTTAATATGGATAATATGGAAATGTAGCTGAAAATTTGGCTTTGCCATCACAGAAGTAAATTACATTTTGTAATTTGCATTAAAACAGAAAAGGTATTTTAAATAGCAATATTTCACAATATTACTGTTTTAACTGTAATTTTATCAAATAAATGAAACCTTGATGAGCATTAGAGACTTCTTTCAAAAAAATAAAAAAAATCTTACCAACCCCAAACTTTTAAAATGTAGTGTTTTAAAACTATTGTAGAGGGATATAAAATCGTATCTTTTTACAGACATTCCCTTCGTATTTAGATTTTTGTTTCTTTGTGTTATCTTGAATCCTCACGACATTGTTTGCATGGCCCCTGAAAATGGCCATGAAGGACATTGATTTTGCTGAAACACGATCGGAGAGATCACAATCAGAGTTGCATACATCTTTTTTTTTTTACATTTGTACAAGAAAGCAGTTGATAAGCAATTCCAGTGTATCTAAACACCCACAAAGAGATGGTGCCCTTTAGTATCAAAGAAGTTGCCTTGATTTTGAAGTATTTTTACCATGTTATATATCAAAACACATGAACTTGTTCTGTAATACACATTTGTTTTTAGTACAAACTGATTGTTACATGAAATTTGCAAGTGCACCATATTGATTATACACATTAGCGATTACGCTTTAACTAGAATTTCACAAGTAATATTTAAAAATGTTTATAGTTCACATATTCGATTAATTTCCTTAAATGTATTAATTGGCTTTGATTGTTCCGAAAGACTTTTTTTTCGTCAATCAATTTTAATTACCAAACATCCTGAGGTCACAATGTAGCATGTTAATCCAAAGATATTTATATGCATTTTTATGTACCCCAGATGACCTTTATATGGGGAATCAAGAGCTAGATTAGAAATTCTATATTAAATTGCGTTTACTGGTGGTAAGCAATACTTCAAATTTACATCTCTATAGTTCTGTATGTTGGTTGTAAAAGGAAATACTGAATCTGTAGTAATGTCACCAGCTCATCTTTTCACCTGCTCTTGTTTTGTTCAGATAGGAAACTGTTAAGCATTTTTGTATGTCAAATTAAAATAGCTTCTGTGTCAGAAATGTATGAAGGCATGACATCTTGAATAAAGATATCTCCTGTCCACTAACACAACTTTGAAGTGGCATATGAGTGAGTGGGCCGTAACATTGTCAGTCTTCTGAAGTTATGAAGAGTGAATAATGTGCTGCAACTGGAATGAACATCCCTTTTCTGCCACTTGCTTAATGTACCAATATTTTTTAAATTTTTTGACAGCTTCGTATCTGATGCATCTGTAATTAGTCACAGAAGAGCCAAACAAATTCTCTCTCCTTGTTAGGCTGTTCTGATGCTCTGGATGTAAATTTCAGGGTTGAATTTTGTTAATATTAAAGACGGATGCATACAAGTATGATAGAAAGATAGATCGATAGATAATGTTATAACTAAAGAAACATCTTAACATTGTCAATGAAATGCCTACACCCAAATAATGCTACTCTAACTATGATCTTTTGGGTTGGCAACAAATGGCACAGTAATTTACTGTGTTAATATTGGCCTACTCCATGTACAGCTTTGGGGATGTGCCTGTGTGTTTGGGAATGTTAACTCATGGACACTGTTGACCTAATTTAACTATTCCTCGGATAGTCCTTTCAGCAAAAGGGGCTTTGTTCAAACTAGGTATTTTTTCAGTGTATTTTCAGTAAAGTTTTTCTAAAGGTACCATTGTGATTTATCTATTCACTTACACATTTGCCTATAGATCTTTTGACAAGTTTGGAATGGTTTGGAACTATCCCTCCAAGAATGCACTTCATTTCATAGAAGGAAAAAAAATACCTAACATCAGGAATTCAATGTATGGTAGCCAATAGCATAGATGACTCGCTTGTCTTGACATAATTGTATGTAAAAAACACAATCCACTAGAGGGCGCTAGTTACTCATATAACTCAAACAATACTGGTATGTATTTTACCAAGCATCATCAAGTTATATGATTTGAAAATGTATATTTTATGTTGTCTTAATTCAATATGTTGGGTCTGAATAAAAAGTCTTAGTAGTACACAAACATCGCATTTATCTGAAACCCCTGTCAGACCCTATATTCCAGCAGACCTGGAATGTTCTGTAAATGGCTAATGGTGATTAAACATCAGAAGTTTCAGGCAACCTTGGCCGGACCTGCTAAAAGTCTAAAAGTGATGAATAATCCCACAATACCCAAGTCTGATGGAAAATCCATACAGAGCTGCAAACAACTTAAAGCAGCGCAACGAGATTCTGTGCACACACAAGATTTTCTCACAAGAGCTGACTATTACGGAATCAATGATCACTGAGTGATAAATGTCTCAGAGGCTTTTTTGAACCTTAAACCGCATAAACACATTTCATTACACCAAATACACAAAATAATGTTCTTTTTAGCAACATCATATGACCCCTTTAACTGATCCTCAACTCTTTAGAAATAAAACAACACAGCCTTGATGCACAAAACATTTGTTTATCAGACCGGTAAATATTAACAGGCTGTGTAGCTCTACATTTTACAGTGTAGACACCCTTCTGGAACAATTGTACAGACAATTGTACAAATGTATGACAATTCCATTTCTCCATTAAGTTGCTTGTCCAGAAGACAGCATTAACCCATAAAGAGGCATGCTGGGTAATTCATGAGACCATTTTCTCTAGAATGGCTCTGATTTGGACCGGGTCAGTTCTGCCTTTGGTTTCTCTCTGAACTTCACCCATCAATTTGTTCAGTACTTTCTTATTACCCCCTCTGATAATCTGAACCTGCAACAACAAAAGTTAATTTCCAAAAATGATTGCATAAATGATCAAAGATGGCAAGCAGTTGATTTTATAAACAAACAAACAATAAATAAATATAGTTTAAAAGTTTTATATTTAGTAATAATATTACATATTTGTGCTGGCTCAAAACATTTAAAGACAAACTGAGTTTTTAAGGTGAATTAACATTTGGATTTACCTCCTCAGGGTGACTGTCCACAATCCTCTTACAGATCTTTTGTAGCTCCTCTTTGTCATTTATCATCCACAAATCCTGCTCCTTCACTATCTGGCCCACTGTCTTCTCTGGAGCCTTCCACATCTCCTGGAAAACCTGTAATCATCACATACAAACACAAAACAGGCCTGTGGTTTAAGGAAAACCTCACACAATATAGCTTCTGACAACTGTTCTGGCAAACTAATTATTATTAGCACAAATTAAAGTTTTTTTCCAGATTTGTTTGTTTTCACTTACTTGCTTGGCAGTTGAAGATGAGATATGACCAGATTCTACAAGACTGATCAGCTCAGCAAGAGCACATGGAGAGATGGGACTGAGAAAGAGAGGGAGAGATTAGAAAGAAACAACAGATTGCACTCTCAGAAAGAGATGTGAGAAAGACTGTCTCGGAGAACAAGAATTAGAAACATTAAGACCCAGGAGAACTCATTACTGAAAGGGTTAAACATGGCTTCTTTCTGTGTGCTCACACAATTTGGCCGCACTCACATATTAGTGAACTTAAGAAAACAAGAAGTGATCATTGAGGCAGTTTCTGATCACTGAGCTGGTGAAGTCCCAGAAAAACACTCCTATCCCCCGGCATGAAGTGAACACAGCTTCCATTATTTATTACTTACTGACTGGAAACAATGTTGGTGAGAAGGAATAAAACAAACAGCCTGGAAATAAGCCTCTAGCACTCACACAAAGACACACTCCCTGTCTCCCTTTTCTCTTGGAATTATTTATTCTAATTTATTTTCCAATGTTTTGGATGTATCACAGCTATTGAATGACTCTTCTCAGTGCTGGCTCACCTCTGAGAGACGTTCAGATTCTGACTATTCAGATTTCCCATCAGCTCTTTTATCACCCAGCCAATCACCTTCCTTGGTTCTGCTTTGGTCGTCTGAACAACATTCTCAAAGTAGTCTATAAGTCCGTCTTCATTCTGAAATAGAGTAATTATCGTAGAATTTAAATCTTTTAAATTAATATTAAATACCTATGATGAAAAAAAAGTAAAAAAAAGAATAAATCATGAGATTTATCCAAAACTATGGAAGCCTGTTTCTACCTCAGAATAAAAAAATAAGACAATTGATAAAGATAAGGCAAAAAATAAGGCAATTTTGGGATAAAGTTTAAGAAATAGTCACATTGTAAAAAAGGAAGTGACAGTTATGAAATAGTTGCAATTACGAGAAATAATGTCGCCATTGTGAGATATTTAAGATAATTAGAATGATGTCTCTCGAGGAAAAAAAAATATTGCGCTCGCCTCACACGGTAGTAGCTCATTTTCTCATGGGCGGGCCAAATTCTCTGGGCGGGCAAAGCAGAGAAAGGGGAGGTAACCTTTCCCCGTATTACGACATAAAGGGAAGATTCCAGATTGGGCCATCTGAGCTTTCATTTTCTCAAAGGCAAAGCAGGATACCCAGGGCTCGGTTTACACCTATCGCCATTTCTAGCCACTGGGGGACCATAGGCAGGCTAGGGGAACTCATATTAATGTTAAAAAACCTCATAAAGTGAAATTTTCATGCCATGGGACCTTTAACATATTTTATTTAAATTTATGTTAAATTTATGTTTTATTTTAATTTATGTTCCAATTGTGAATTAAAGTTGCAATTATGAGAAACAGCTGTAATTGTGATATGAAGCCAAAATGAGAAACAGTCGTAATTGTGAGAGAGTGATAGATAGTGACAAGAAATAAAGTTGCAATTATGACAATTATAAGAAGTGATTGT